AAAAGGATATTTTACAAATTATTCCCAAATATTACTATTACTACTATTATTATTTCACTGTTCTTATTTATTTGGTTCATTTTATTTCTCAGCAATTCAACTGGCCTCGTTCGTAACAAAACATTTATCAATAAAATCAACATTTAAGGTGATCGATAATAATCCACGTACCAACAGGGGGACTTGACTTTTGGTCCGAATAGCGGACGGTTGCTCGAGCATGACAAAGGGGATTTCCCAATGGGCGTGTACACCTTAGTAGAAATTTTAGCTCAAACCATGTTTATAATGATCCTTTTATACATAAATAATGATTGACGATATAATTCAATCGAGAAATCAACTGGAATGTTTCATTTTTGGACATGAATAATAGTAACTACCTTCTGAAAACGGACCCTCTTTATGACGTAGCAACCTCATCTCGCCATAGTTGAAAGAAAATACCAAACGTCCGACGGAGACTGAGGCAACTGATATATCAATTCTTCCAACTGATCTCGCCGTAATTCACTCTGTCAGAAATCATGTGTCATTCATATCTGTCTGGAATAGTCTTGTTTCAGTATTAGGGTTCTGACGTCACATCATCGCCTCGTTTTCAGAGGTCGGAAAAATCGGGACTTTCAATAATTTTTCATATATCGTAGGGAGCTCACAGCAAGAAACGGTTTGCGGTGGTGAGCTAGTTTGGGTGAGTTCTATCGAATTATGAGATTTTTTTTTATATAAGCCCATTGTGACATACCCGAGTTTTGTTAGATTATTGTGAAAGTACCATTTTTGTTGATAATTGAGTTTTCTTGGAATGGAAATTGGACCAGAAAAGTATTTTGGCAACAAAATATTTATTTACACAACTAAAAAACAAAACATTCACTGAAGATACACAAATGTGACTTCAAACATATCTGATTTCGACAATTTATATTTTTATTTATCCAGTTATCAACCTAAAATGCCTCTTTGAGAAATATCAAAATTGTATTTTATCCTCATTAAACCCATATTTCTCAGCAAATCCCATCTAGCAAAGGAAATAAGTCCCATTCGTGACAGTATTTTTACGCCTTTAATATAGGGCATCTGAAGCGTATCACCTATGCTATCAAATGAAGTCGCCATTCGAAAATGTTTGCTTTGCATTGTGCTGTTTTTTATTCGATTTTTCGTTCATTTCTTGATACAATGTGGATTAAAAGTATTACAACTGTGGTTATTATCAAGGTGAGTTCCATAGTTCCTTCTGATTTCTTTGATTCTGTAGTTTGAGATCATGAATTCATGAATCATGTCATGTCATGATGCGACTTATGCGAGGCATTGGCATTGACACTGGTCATCTTGGATTTCTTTGGAATGTTGTTTCTCATTTTATTTTTCATAATATAATTATTTTCCTCAAAACTAGCGAGGCGACAGGTACTTTAGACCTCGCTTTAGACTATGAAGTAAAGAGATATCTAGAGGTACTTCGAATTTTGTTTCAATTTGGAGGTTATAGATCAACATTTATACTTTTGGATGGACAAATATTAACATGCTGCATCCATAACGTGTATAATCTCTGCAGAAAGGTACAGATGGACTGATGGAAAACAACTTGGGAAACTCCCCAATACTCTAATTGATTTGATAACGGTAGGTGATTTCGTGATGAAGACTGATATAATATTATTCATCTTGGTAATTTTTCGGATTTTCCATGTCTGTGTTATCTATGTGAAAGCAAGTTGTGCAGTTGTTTGATAAAAAAAATTGTTCAAAGACAGATATATGCCTAAACAGATATACAAATGAACTATACAGGAACGCACGATATTCCATGAACATTATAGGGATTCCCTTTCGTGCGCTCCAAGCGATAAAGAAAAATAAACTCACGGTCGATGGTACGTTAGACGTTTATGGAGAACGCAACGCAGGATTTTTTTCGAAATTTTGCATCTCACATTTTATCACCTGTTCTATCAATCTGAAATATTTTAGAAATTGTGACGTTGCCGCTTACAGCAAAAAGTCCTAGCAACTTCTTTTTTTTTTAGAGGAACACCCCGTATATTAACAAATCTTCAGGATTGCCTTCTCATCACAATACTCTTCTGTTGATAAATCCCAATACCTATATATATCTCTATCCATTAATTTGTGTTGAATATGATCCAAAACATATCCCTAATTGAACTTATGTAAATCAGAGCTCTCGATGGATGCCTTTTGAATATCATGAGGATCCAAATCTTCAATACACCGCACTATTCGCCGTCGCAGTTCTTCTTTGGTAGGCACTGGAGTACTGTACACCCTTTCTTTTGAATTTCATAAAACCCCATAAAAAAAAGTCTAGCGGCGTGATATCAGGTGATCTCGGTGGCCAGTCTCACGGACCTAAACGGCCAAACCAACGATCCTAAAACATTTCGTGAAGTTTCCTGGAAACTTACTGAGTTGAATGAGCTGGCGCCGTCCAGTATAGGAACCATGAATTCCTATATTCCTCTAAAGGCAAATTTTCTAGGAAATCTGTCACAGTCGTCCTCAATATTTGAATATACCTCTCAGCATTCAGAGTGCCATCGTGAATGAAAAACCTGTGTTTTTTTATACAGAAAACATTTAGGTCAACTTTTACTTGAAAACCCATTTCTCTTGTTATATGAGGATTATGATCATTTCAAAAATGCTTATTTCTTTTATTGAAGATCCCATCCCTCGTGAATTTTGATTCGTCTCTCCAAATTATTTTCGACATAATTTCCGGTTCCTCCTGGACATGCATTAAAAGAGCTTCGCAAAAATGCACTCTCCATAGGTTTTGGTAATGTTGGAGGCGCTTTTAACTTTGAGCCATAGTTGATAAAATTATTTAGTGATCTCACAAACTTCCTCTCGTTCATTGGTGTCAATTCAGGATACAGTTGGTTGAATTTTCTGCAAGTTCTGGCAATGTCACATTGTCCGTGTATAATAAATAACTTCATAAGAACTTCGTTTGAATAATCGATATTCGCGTTCATTTTGAGAGAATTCTTGAAACACTGTCAATAACAATTACTGAATTACTCATAAATGTCACCGAACTGTCATGAGTTTGATATTTCCATGGCTATCTAAAATTCACTTTTTCATAAAATTATATTTCTCACAGATAGCGGCTTTATTAGGAAAACTTGATGATTTGTAGCATTTTCATTCGTCTTTCAATTTATTGAGTAAAAAACAGTGGATTTCATTTGAAAAAATGAAATTTTGACCACTTGTATAAACAACGGATATAATAATAATTCCAGCACGCCCTGTATGATATGGAGGCAACTCCTCGGTGTAAATTGAATACATCAAGCCTGTCTAAACCACCACTGAAATATCAAATCTTAATGATTCGAGAGCCCTGATTTACATAAGTTTAATTAGGGATATGTTTTGGATCATATTCAACACAAATTATTTTTTATCTCGAAAACCGATAGAGATAGGTATAGGGATTTATCAACAAAAGAGTATTGTGATAAAAAGGCAATTCTAAAAACTCGTCAATATACGGGGTGTTCCATTTAAAAAAATGAAGTTGCTAGGACTTTTTGATAGAAACGGCAACGTCGCAATTTCGAGAATATTCCAGATCGATAGAACAGGTGATAAAATGTAAGATGCGAAATTTCCAGAAGAATCCTGCGTTGCGTTTTCCATAAACGTCTAACGAACCATCGACCGTGAGTTACCCTGTATAAGTAGGTACATAATACCTACCTAATGTTGGGTTACTATGGAAAAAGCACAGAAAGCTTCAAAATATATTAGCAAAAATGATACTCGCATTTCCTTCTCAATTTCTATGAAACCCAATGATATTGTGAGTACCCACCTGAACAAATCTTTTGGGTGTATGATAAATTGACATTCATCATACAGGGCGTGGAAAAGATGGTCATGTGCAATGAAAAGTACCTGTAGGTACCTACTATCTAACTGATTTCAATTCTCAGAGTTGAATAACCTCCTAATGGCAATCCAGACTAATGAATGAATGAAATATCATGAAATTATTTCAGAGATGGCCCATGAAGATTCGCTCATTCGATAAGAGATTGATTCCCTGCCTCTACCATCTGAATACTCAATCCCTACAGGTGAAATAAGTTATCTAATGTTACTTTCTAAGAAGCTAATTACAGTTGATCTCAGATTATCGAAGCCACAAACTTTTCAGTCCTTCCTTCAATTTGGAAATTGTATAATCATCATCAATTAGAACATAAATGTTACCTTAATACGATTTACTTTGTGTAACGTAAAGAAGCTTCTGTTTCGTCATAGATTTCGTTGACGGACATTCAACGTTACTGCGAGGAACTGTATACTTCATTGTCAAGGTCAGAAGAACGTGATGAAACTAGCATACTATTCAGCCCAGTGGGTTAGTTCTTGTCGAGGATAAAATCAAAGTCAGCGGCCTTCAGATCGTATATATGTTGATATTTTGCTCTTCCTCGTTTATGTTACTCACGTTCGAGATATCTCCAAGAACTCGCACCAAGAATTTCTTTGTGGTACCATTATGATCACTTGAAGAACTCGCAACAAGAACTTCTGATTCAGATAACGTTCATCAGGTCAACTGAAGGAACTCGCAGTAAGAATATCTTGTTCACGTTAGCTCGAGAAGCCCGCAGTAAGAATTTCTGATTCTGATTTTCCTCGTGATGACTACGGGAACTTGCATGAAATCGATAACTGAAATGTGAGTTCTGAAATATTTTTGCTTGGGAATTCGAGAAGAAATCAGCGAAGAGGTATTTGTTGCCTTGAGGAACACAAACATCATCACTTGAGCATCATTCTAGATTGTCGTTTGAATTGATTCAACAATTGAGTGAGAATTAATTCACGTTTTGTTAGATAATATAGTGATAGTATGTTCCAATCTGAGTTTTTCCTCTCAAAATGGATTGAACTCATGGATTTGGAATATAATATATTATGAAATAATGATGAATCAAGGACATTAAACACATTAGAATTTTATCAGAACTTTATTCTCAACTACTCACTACATTACACTTTATGGTTTTGGAGATAATGGGATAGCAGGGGTTTCATTGCAGCCACTGAGCTCGATGAGACGGGCAAAAGAAAGTGCTCGTATTTCTTGAGAACTGAGAAGTAGGTTATAATTTCGTTCCATTACCTGTTTTATTTCAAGGCCCATCAAGGAGTCCATACCTGAAACATAAACATCACATAATCATTTGTTCTTTGATCTGAACCCAACTCAATCTGAACAACAATAGAATTCAACGGAACGGAAAGACCCGGAGGAGTATTTCCGAACCTATGTGCAATACAAAGCTCAGATGCTCTGGAGTGCCTTTGGATATTGCCCGCGGATATTGGCATTCCGTAACATGCGTAGTGCATTGCTGACACACATCAGTCTATAACTCGCAAGGGTTCGTATCAGTGATGACAACCTTTCAAATACGCAACGCGAACCTATGAACATTTCCTATATTGGGAAGAAATCCCTACAAGTCATCAAATCAACCCATAGTGAGAGGAGAAGATGGTGTGCCTAAGCGCATATTATGTGACGTCAACTGGGATACCAATATCAGCTGCTAGTAAATAACCTTTGCCATTGGTGTAAGCTACGAATTCAAATAAGTTTATTGAAAGTTCTATAAGTTCCTCGATCTGTTTAGAAAAAGTTGAATCCATATAAATAGGTACTTATTGCTCTGATTTTACTACTCCAGTGATTCAGGAATTTGTGCTCTTCCGGTAATTCGAAATCGCAAATAGCAAATACATAAGATTTATCATGCATCGCCAATCCCATCGAATGATCCATCACTGTGTCGATTCTGACAGATTGGAATTCAGCAGTTACCCAGCAAACATCGATAGGCGGTAGATAGCCGGGCCCATGGCGAGAACGGCGGGCAAATGTCGATGTCGGCATGCCTCGAAAGGCCCTCCAAATAATTTCGAAGGATTATGTGACGAAGGCAGAATGTACACATACTTATTATAGGCCTCTGTTTCCCAGTCGCTAGTTTTCCGCTGTATGTATCAAAGTCAAAGGGCCATCAAAATTTCAACGGAGTGTGCCATCATCACTCACTCAACGTTGGCATCCCTAGCTCGCGTGAATTTTTATTTTGATCATTTTGCAGTGGTAACAATGATTCAGTATGGCGTATATTGATTTCTTTGTTTATGTTGTCTCAACACTCTCAAAAGAGATTTTAGTACTGTGTTCAGTTATGGTTCAGTTCGTGTTTGGTTTTCTTGTGGATTTTCATACAAAATAGAAGGGAATTAAAATAAATACAGAGTGAGTGAGGAACAAACATATATACAAACTTGCACAGCTAAAAAATTCTATTTTAGATAATAATTTAACAAACACCATTGGACAAACAGATGCAATAATAGTTTGGACGTGTTCAGCGGATACACAAGAATATAATAATTGAGGACTTTGAAGATGCATGAGCTTTCATTACATATGAATTAAAACGTAAATCAAAGATAGCTACTTGAAGAAACAGTTATATTTCAATACTGTAGGTATGTATAAGGTTGAATGTTTTGGATTAGTAGAGAATGAAATCATTCAATCTTTCAGCTACAAAATCAACAACCAGAAGCCCATCAATTACAGATATTAATGAAGAAAGCACACAATGATCCAGACTATATGATATGAATTATTTTATGGTATATGATATCTCACTTCCAGGCAACACTCATATCAATATGATGAAGAGTAAGGTTCTCCATATCTGGAAATTGTTTTCTTGTAGATTGAACTTCATTGTTGACAATAACTTGATCAATATAATAACTGATTACCTACATACCTTTCAAGGTACATAGGTGATGTAATTTTTGACCTAGAGTTAGCAACTTTTTGAAACAATGAGGATACAGAGTGATATGTAGAACTAGAATTGAGATGTTTGATGTTTCCATAGTTGTGATATGTATTGGTTGTGATCATGACAATAATATACACACATGGATATTTTCAGTTCTTGTTTTTGTATGGGGTATTTATACTGCTAGTTTCCTGGAAATACCTGTGATATCAGAATGCCATCTCGGAGATTTTTATATAATTATTCAACAACTTCAGGTAAGGAGTGCATTCCACATTTCTGTTTTACCCAGAGGATTCACAAAAAACTCGGAGACCTCAATTCTGTTTTTTGAAGTTCCACATTTTTTAACCAGTTTGAAAATAAAGAGAGAGTGATGCAAATCTGAGTGAAAATGAGATACGTTGCTTTTCAAGTGGTGATATAAACTGGAATACCTATCAAAAAACCTATTTTCACAGAGATATGTGCATTACCCTATATAATCTTTGACAAACCTAGTTGAAAAATGGGACATCAAAAAACAGAATACTTTGAATATTGAATTCATTCAACCCCGTTAACCAACGGCCCTGAAAGACTCCTCTATCGGGGGAATGAAAATACTCAAGCGGCCAATTAATGGCAGTCTCTGAAAAGTCTCAATCGGGCCGAAGATATGCCATGAATGCAGTACATTTGAGTACTTGCTTCTGCCCACCAGAAGCCCTGCAACGTAATAAGCGGCATACTGATGGCTCTAGTGAGGCGGTCGGCTGTCGGCCGCCGGGACACGGGCTAGCCGGCCCAATTTAGTTGTACAATAGAGGACCGCTGTTACCGCTCGCCGGCAAGTTTCATTGTACATTTAGAGGGCCGCAAAAATCATGTTTGCTGGGTAACGACGTTGACGTTGCTTCTGCTTTGACAACGATAACAGGAGTGACATTTTGTGCCGTTCTGTTATTCAACCATTTGCTGCAATTCATATGTTGTGGGAAATCAAATATTTTGAATTAATTTTCAATTATTTCTTATTTAATTTTCGACGGAAGATGGTCTGTATATAGGAATGGCATCTTGTTTCAAATATTCGTAATTTTTTGGAGGTGTGTATTTCAAAAACTGTACTTTCAAACTTGTTTGAGAACATTTCGCATGTAAATGTTTCGAACAAATTGATGATCATATGATAGGAGAATACTTTGGAATGAGGATATAGGAATACAAGGTAGGTACCATTATTTGAGTTGATTTTCGGTAGGCAGCAAGCTTCCACCCATCTGTTCATTAGGTCTCCATTCTTGGAAAGACAGAAAAATTCAATATCTGTGCCTTTTGTATATAAGTTTGAATTTTCTCACCAGGAACGAAACAAGTGGGCATTTTGAAATTATCTCATTCAATTTTGAAACATCGATCACGAAAACAAATAATAACAATGACAGTTATATCCCAGTTGACGTCATGCGCAGAACAAGACGAGTTTGAGCTTTCAGTCGAGCACACCATCTTCTCCATCTACTATGAATCAACAAAGAACATTTTTCGAAACACAAAATTGCACTATGTTCAAATGTCACTGTCACTATATAGTCACTTGGCATAAACAAGTCACACCAAAGCCGTTTATTAAAATAATCCAGATAAATAATCATGAAATGATGATAATCGACCGTTCTCTGAACTGACAGACTGCGTCTGCTTTTTCATATCAAAGTTATCATACGTTAGATATAGTCGTTGAGGCTGTCTGGCCACAAGGACAGTTGGAAAGTCCGTACAATTCTACACACCCTAAATTTAGCAAATTACTACATGTAGGAAACAACCCTACGGGTCTTCATCGCTGGTTCGTATGAGCACAAGCTATCTTATGCTTTCCGAATTTCAACGAACGTGCAAAATAAGTCACAATAATTTGTGAATTCACAATATTTTCGTCAACGTGAAGCTAGTACTGCCAACGTTTGTGGGGCGCCCTACTAGAGTACGCATTGTCTATCTATATTCAGAGTATATAGATGTTTCTGAGATGGAAATCTCTCAAAAATAGTTTCAAATATGACAGAGTGAGAAGTTGTGAAGTTGCTGTATACAGGGTGTCCCGTGACTCGATCTTTATAGTTCGAGGGCATATTCCTTGAATGATTTTGAGTCGAAAGTGCCTCATACGATTTTGTTCAAAAGTAGATAGTAGATGAGTTATGGCTAATCAGATAACTTTGCTTACCGATGGATTGCAGGAAGTGGTCCAGTTCTTTGGCTATCGAGATCACCTGACCCAAGGCCTCTGGACTATTATCTTTTGAGACACATGAAATGTCTATGGTGCATTCAAATGGACCACAAACCAGAGATGAGCTAATTCGAAATACTATGAATGCAGCTGCATCCATACGAGCCAATCCAGATACTCTTCAGGGAGCAACGCCTTCGATAATTAAAGGGCAAGAATGTGTTGTTTGTGAAGCAGCAGGAAGACATTTTGAAGAAATACTTCAATTGAATTTATTTAAGTAATGAAAAAATTCTCAATTGCTAAAATATTACATTACTTTATTCAACATTCTCTTCACTTCATCTTGTACACAGTGTCGATTTCGGAGAAAGTTTTGGACAAGAGTGTATAAGGCGCTTTCGACTTGGGATTGTTCAAGAAATATGTCCTTCAGCTACTGACATCGAGTCACGGGACACCCTGTATCTTTATTGTAAACAGAAGACGAAGAACTTTCAGAACAGTTGGAAATATTCCATTTGAGAAAACTGAATTTGACTCATATTGTTTTTCATCTTATGTTTCGTATTTGTTAATTCGAAGAGAGTACCGAGTGCCGAAAAATAAAACAAATGAAACCCTACAACTCCTATTTTAGAGGTATTTTCCCACTTGGTATAGTTGAATTTGTAGGTAGGGGTCAAACTATAACGAGACACCCTGATAATCAGGTCCACCCCCTCGAGGAAATATGGAGTGAATATATCTCAATTCAGAATCGATCCTACTGTGAACTAGTGAAATAATTTCGATATTCATGGATGAAGTAGATGTTATCAATATATAGGATGTAAGTATATTTGTTATAGGTTGTATCCCTCATGTCAATCCTAATCGATTAGGTAGTAGCACGTTGTAGGTTCGATCAGGAGCAACGAAATTTGGTCTACTACTCAATTATTCGTTTAAACATGTTTATGAAACAATCCAACTGAACGATCTTGATGTAGTTTTTGATGAACCTCAAATTCTGGTGATATCACTTAAATATCTATGTCATAGCATGCCACGATCCAGTATATTAAAGGAGAACAAGAACAAGTGGGTTTCAAACGATCTTGCTCAGTTCATCCATAATA